CCCCAAAACCCCAAAACCCCAAAACCCCAATCCAACCTCCAGTACTTATAAATAATAATTCTAAAACACTAATCTAAAGATGTCATTCGAGCACATAGTCATTGACGTCCAGGATTGCCTACAGCTTGGCCCAGTAAGCAAACGGCTTGCTTGAGGATTTGGGGGTGGCACAGCTGTGAGGGAGAAGGCAGTTGGGGATTTTGGAGGTGGAGGGAATGGGGGTGGGGGACGACTTTGGGTATAGGGAGAAGGAGGGAAGGAGGAAGGGGTTGAAGGGATTTTGGACATTTGTAGTCAGATTGGAGTGAATGGAGCAATTGTGAGGTAAGAATTAGGGGTTGAAAGAAGATACATGGGGTTAAATTTTTAATATAAGATATTCGTTTAGTCTGATTAATTTTATGGGAAGTTTATATTTTGTAAAAAAGTTTTAAATTTTGATAAAAAAATTAGAATTAATTTTAGATTTATATTATTCAAATTAATAAAATAATTTATGTCAGAATTTAGGATAATTATTCGCCATATAAAACAACTCTTTTGGCTACATTATTTTTAAGTAAATTTCTTTATTTGGAAAATATTATTATTGTCTTTATAGCCTTTATTTTCCAGTTTTTTGCCAAGAAATCGGGAAGTTCCAGAAATTATTAATCCAGAAAAACAAGCCTAAAGGAAATACAGAGACCAATCAAGGTAATCCTATAGCTAAATTTTATTAGAATTCAAAGTTAACATTGTAGTCGGTCTCCAATGGTTATTCTTTGAACTAGGATCTCATTCTTTTGTTGGGCATGAAATCGTAGTCTACTCAAGCAACCCGAACTTCTTCCATAAGCAATTCGTTGACATGTTCCAGCAGAAATGTGGAAGCAATCAGAATATTTCAATTAAGCACAAAAGGATGGAAAAGCTATTGGAAGACTTAGAACCATTGGAATCTCTCGCAGAATCAACTGATACAGAAGAATCAAAGACTGATCCAAAATTAATGAAACACAACAAGGAGAAAAATTATCAAATCAAAATAAAAGAAGGAAATAAAAGTATTGAAACAAGAAACTCAGATTCTGAAACAGTGGCTTGCCAAACAGCCATAACAGGATCAACTCCTTGCTCTCAAATAGGAGATGAAATGGAGGAGCTTGACATTAAATTCAGACAAAATAAGAACTATAAGAATTCACTTGTTGAGTTATTAGAGAAAATCCCCAAATACTTTAACAAGACAGGAGACAATAATGTGATCAAATTCATGAATGGACTTGAAAATTTAGTAAACCAGCATCTAAATAAATTTCAAAAGTCATCAAAGATTGCTCTTTCTATTTCTGAAAGGAAAAATTATTTCTTTTTTGTTAGAAATTTCCTTCATAAACACAAAATCATCGAATGTGAGATTCTGAATTTATGGGTAACCACACATCATGGAGACACAGAAGAGAAGATAAAAGATTCCTACACAGTGAAAATAGACTTTGGCAAAATTGATACTGCTTTTGCTAAGCTCAAACAAACTACATCAAAATTCTCGCTCAAGGGACATCAACTGGTAGACAATATTCATACCTATGGATCAATATGTCACGCAACTGTTAAGAATTTGATAAGAAATGATCTTATGAGCTCTGATAAGCCAATTAATTCAGTTAAAAGTTTGACTCAAAACATCTATCATGCTTTAAAGTGCATTTATAACTCCAAGACAGTGACTAAAGAGCAGAAGCACGTTATAAAGAAGGATAAGAGAGTTAAATACCTGATTTGTGAAATATTAAGAAACCGTGGAGTCTGGGAAGAAAAAGAGAATGGGTCTGTCGAAATCAACAGGGCAAGATGAGAATCTTTCTCTAATGAAGTCGATACTACTCCTTCTAGAAAGATGATAAATAAACTGATTTGTGAAATTCAGAGTATTGTCTGCCAAGAAAATATCAGTTCCAATGAACACTAAGAGTTCTAGAATAATATTTTACTCAATAATTGTCGGCCACATTAAGAAATTGTGAATTAGCTATTTTTCCTCTTGGTAAAATTCTCTTGAAGAGTATTGGGTTTGAGAGAATTAGCTTATGAGATGATTCTTTGGAACAGAGAGATTAACCAAAAGAAAAATTTGTTATAGATGAAGATTATTTGTGAGCGTAGTTGCTGATTAATTTATAGCATTACAATTATTTGTGCTATAACAACAAACATCACATCTAAAATTTTAGGCTAAATTTATGCTCAATCCAAAACGTTAGACTTAGTTTCTTTGTTTTAAAAACAATTTTAACGCGAAATGCATATTCCAAATAAAAATTATTAATTTAGCTTTTACTAATACTACTAAATTTTCTTATCCATTTTTCAAATTCATAATTTAATTAGTGCTCACCTCCCTTCGGGGTTTTGGGGTTTTGGGGTTTTGGGG